ATTATTATTATTATATACAATTTTTAAATTAAAATAATTATTTTAAAATTGATAATAAGTAATGAGTAATGGCAATGAGCATGATTATGATTATTATATTCAATTTAAAAAATAATTATTAAAAAATGTTGATTAAAATAGTGATAATAGAGATAATCTTATTAATGACAATGACAATAATGCCAATGATTATAATCATAAAAATGAATTTATTAACACCGTGATAATCAAATTGACAATGAATAAAATAGATATCAAGAATATGATGATTGGAATGTAAATAAATGATAATCATTTTATTGAAAATATGCACATACCAATGTTAATATATACACTCATAATAATAATAATTATAACAGTTATAATAATGAATTTTACGTGTTCTATTTCGCAGCTCTATGAAATCAATGATGATCCCAAGCGCAAGGAGTTTCTCGATGATTTGTTTTCGTTTATGCAAAAGCGCGGTAAGTTCATCTACCAGCAGCTCTATATGGGCATGTGGCATGGGCAGAGTGGGGCATGGGACATGGGGACAGTGGGGCAGGCATACTTGAACAACACTTGACGCTCTCTGTTGATCGGCTGTTGTTGCATTTGCATTTKCATGTGCATCTGCTGACTCAGCTAGGCAAGTTTGAAGTGTTTGCGTTTCGGACGGACTCAAATTATGTTAATTGAATAAATTTCTCGGCACTTTGCCGTTTGATTTGTCGGCTCCACTGTGCGAGCGCATTAAAATATGCAGAAATTTCCACCGAACGCCAGAGAAATCATTAAAATGATGCCGCACTTTTGTCGTTTTGTCACTCCAAATTACAGTCAAGCAAACGGTGCAACGCATGGCTGAAGGGGGGCGTGGGGGGCTCTCGCTATCTCTCCCTCTCTCTCCATGCACATGAGTACTTAAAAATGCTGCACTGAACAAATTGCGACTATTTTTAAGTTTCGTCATTAATGAAATTAACAATTGCCCAGTTGAATGGGCATGAGCATGTGGCATGCAACGGCCGTGAGCTTTTTGGCCCACAACAAATGTCACTTCCTGTGGCACAAGCACACGCACACACACACACACACATGTATAGGTCCTCACTGCTGTTGGCCAGTCACAGAGTCGCGATAGCCACGTTGAAGTATTTGCGCATTGCCGCAGTGCATTAAATTTGTTGATATTTGCATTTGCGACATGCGAAGCAAAAAGATTGTGCAAAGAAAAAGCCAAAGAGCTAAATTACAAGCACTAAACATATGTGTTGCTAGGTGAGTGTGTGCGTGCGTGTGTGTGCATGTATTGCCTTATAAACATGCTAATGCTTAAGCTCGACTTGCAACATGCGGCCACAGAGCAATAAAATTTGCATTCGTATTTCGTTTTCTTTTATTTATTTTATCTAATTCACACACATATATACATACATATGTGCTGCATTCATATATACATATGTATAGATATATATGCTTAGCTACACATATCTCTCAATGCTTGACAACTTAATGGATTTTAATCTGTCACATGCGCTCAAGTTTTGACATGTGTGTACATGTATGTATGCATGTGCAGGCAGCGCGCTCACTGTGACTGTGACTGTGACAGTCACTGTGACTCTGTCTGTGACTGACTGTCTAAAGTGTCGCCCGCACACACACACACACACATACACACAGTTGTATCTGTATCTATAACTATATTTATATCTGCTCTGCGATATTATACAATTATACAACTATAACGTATAACGTATAACGGAAATTATGCTGAAAAAATATATAAACTAAATATGTTTCCCTATGACTGCTGCTCTGTCTCTATCTCTATCTCTATCTCTGTCTCTGTCTGTGGCCCGTGTGTGTGTTTGTGTTTGTGCAGCGAAGAGCGGCGCAATTCTTAATTAAAAGACGTCAATCACTTATCAACCGGGCGCGCTATTTCTGTAGATATTTCTCAGTGCTCGCCTGACAGACCCTTCCCACCGAGATCCAGTCTGAACGCGAGCGCCAACCAAAAAATCACAAAAACAAAAACAACAACAACAACAAATAGAAATTCAAACAGCCAACCCAAACTAAATCAGCTGTCAGGCTGGCGGGGTGAGGGACTGTCTGTAGTAGGTGCGTTATGATTTCAGACTCTATCAAATTTCTCTAGATTCCATTAAAATGCCATGACATCTAGGAAAACAATGCATAAAAATAAATAAATACCGTTTATAGCGATCGTCGCTTGTCATCAGCCGTTGCCCAACTACAAATTCGTTCAACTCACTAAATTGCTTTTAACTTGTTTACAATTGTCTGGGCATTTGACTGTAGGAATTTGCCAATTGCAAAGTAATTGGAATTTATGTCTTTATAATATATCTTATATACTATAATATGGAATTTAAGAAATAGGATTTGAAAGTTAGAGCTTTGAGATTTTTGATCTACTGAACCGGAATGTTATTCAGGATCATATCAGCTCGAGGTGTGCTGACTCAAGCTAATCAAAAATATGGCATATTTCAGTTCTGATTATAGGAAATTATTGTATTGTATTCTGAGTGTTATTCAGGATCACATCAGCTCAAGTTATTAGAGTTAATTAAAAGTTAATTAAAAATATGTTTTACTATGGCATGTTTCTGTTCTGCATATAGGATATTATTGTATATATTATAGGATATTATTGTGTATATTCTGAATGTTGTTCAGGATGATATCAAAGTCAAAGTTGTCTGATGTCAAAAAATGAGAAAATACTGGAGGTAAATCCACTGTACAGTGGGAGATAAGCTAGAGAGGCCTTGTAGGACAACTTGGGATTATGTGAATATAAAATAAGAAAATTGTTTGATTTTTAGGCAAAACACATAAGATAAGATCTCCTTAACTAGGAAAGATCGTTTCATATTTATAGTTAGTAATATAATAGTATAGTAATATAATAAATCTATATTCTATAAATGTCAAAAGTCAATAGGATGACGCAGAAGCTTGCTAGGGAATACACACTTTCAGTTAATAATCCTCAGTATAAGAGCAGAGTTTTCATTCAATCAAAATAGGGTTTATACGATATATAAAGTTTACTAGTTGCACAATAATAATGATTATTAAAAAAAAAATCCAAAATTTGTTAGCATCATGCGCAACATGTGCGTGTTGCTGCCACTCCGAGGAGTTGGCCAATTCGATCGACAACAAGCTGCAAGTTGGCAGCCAGAGGCGAAGTTGGCGATTTGTTTGAAGATTTCTGTTCGGGTTTAATGATCGCTGAGAGATTGGAGCAAAGTTAATCATTAAATTGCTTGCATTGATTGTGAATATTTTTCTCTCTTCTTGCTGTTGTTGTTGTTGTTGTTTGGCTTTTGTGGCTCGTGCAGTGATCCAAATGATCGCATCATCGCAATCGAAAACACCCCCAGCTCCGCTGGCCTTGTCCTTAGCCACGGACCACAAAATAAATTGTTCGATTTACTCGTTTTTATTCCCTATGCTTTTTTATTTTTTTCTGATATGCAATCATCGTTGCCCGCTTGCGCCGCACCGCGCCCCGCCTCATATTTGTTTATATGCATAAAAAACAAAAACGTATTTTCATTCAATCAACACGTCCATCAACGAGTTTGATTGATTCCTTCGGGCTCATAAAAACTCGAGAGGCCACATTGGCAGCAGCAGCAGCAGCACCGGCCGTGCAGCATTAAATGATATTCAACAAAATTGTATTTGTATCGTTTGAGATGAAAGAGGGGCAGGGGCAGGGGCAGGGGCAGCGGGAGGGGGAGAGCTGCTCACTCTCGCACTGAATCAGTGTACAAAATCAAGTTACTCACGTACAGCAATTATGCAAGTTGATTTGATTTTTATATGCGCCACTGCGCTACACGAGTGGGGTACATCGCTATAAAGAGAGAGGTGTGTAATGAGAGATGGGAAGAGAATGTGAAGAGCAGAAGATTTAATAGAAACTAAAATTGATAAAAAATAAACATAATTATTATTATATTAGGTATAAATGATAGTTATTAGCGGAACTATTGAAGGTTTATATGAACTGTTATACCTGGGCAACGATTTAGTATATGCTTCGATCTTCAACTTCAATTACCGCTCTTCTATGCGCTTCTCATCAACTTTTAAAGCTGTGAAAATAGATCCTAAACTTGATAGAGACCTCATCTAATTATATGGAGATCAAATATAGAAGTTATATATTTTTACTGTACTATTTAAACTGTTATACAGGGATATGCCTTGATAAAGTCTGAAATTGACTCTATGCTCTGCTGTATTGTGCAAAATTCGATTGTAATAGATGCTAAACCTGATTGAGAGGTCATATGAATATCAATTATGGATATTATAGGTTGCAACTGTACTATTGAAACTGTTATACTTATGAGCATGCCTCGGCTAAAATGCAAAATTGACTTCTATGCTCTGTTCTATACATCACCTTTCAATGCAATTCTCAAGAGCAATACAAATCCCATAAACCCAGTCAAGAGTGCAGGGTATTTGAGCTTCGTCTAGGCCTGCAGTCGCTGCTGCTGCTGCTGCTATTTGCTTTTTTACTCTTTTGGACGCATCCAAACAAAATGAAATRGGCAGGCAGGCAGGCAGGCAAATGGGTGTTAGGCGTGGCAAGTGAAAATCGAATAATACAATACGAATACCAATACGAATACGATTCGAATGAGAAATAGAACTGAGCTGATGAGCCACAGATGATGATGATGATTAGCCGCCATAAACACATATAGACACATGTACAAACATGTGTATGCCGGCAACATTTTGGATATCGATCTGGATTTATTTATGTTTTTATCGGTGCACACACAGACAGACAAACGGACGGATGGACACAGAGAGAGGTCTGCACTTGGAAGTTGTTGTTAGCAACGAGTGTTAATTGCCCCCGGGGCACGAAACGTGCGAGAGAGGCGTGGCGTAGGCAGATAGGATGCAATGCAATAAATCTGTTTTATGGCATCGTTTAATCGTGTTTTGCTTGCTGCTGCATTTAACAAGCGCATTAGAAAACATTTACATGCCACAAGTGGAAGCTGCTTTATGGCGCAAACAAAACGCATTGCTAATTTCTCCAGTTGCATGTAGATCGAAGTTTTATCTCTATTTTATCTCTATTTTATCTCTATTTTATCTCTATTTTATCTGTATTTGATCTCTTTATTCCAAACACAGGCACACCCATCAATCGGCTGCCAATCATGGCCAAATCGGTGCTGGATCTGTATGAACTATATAATCTGGTGATAGCGCGCGGCGGCCTCGTCGATGTCATCAACAAGAAGCTCTGGCAGGAGATCATCAAGGGGCTGCATCTGCCATCGAGCATCACCAGTGCCGCATTCACGCTGCGCACACAGTAAGTCTAGTGCAAATCGTAGAGTATTTGCAGTTCGTATATGACACCTGCCCGAGAACTATGCGTTGATCAAATAGAGTTTGCCTCCGCTTGGCGAGCAAATAAAAAGCGAACGAAACAATCAAACATCGGCAAACCGATCAAGCGACGATCGATCGACTGCAGTTGCAAGCCTGTAGCCTAAAGCCTGTTGCATGCTGCATGTGGCATGTTGCATGCTGCCCGGTTGCCCGGCTGCTGCTCCTTTGTTTGCTCTTGAGCTCGTCACGTTTCATATTTACACGATAATTCAATATAAACGTGAAGGCGACAGGACAGCAGAGCGCTGCAATGTGTTTTCCTTGCACTCGATGCATGTTTGCTGCGCTTATTAATAATTTTATGCATCTTTCAGATACATGAAGTATTTGTACCCGTACGAGTGCGAGAAGAAGAACCTCAGCACACCGGCCGAGCTGCAGGCGGCCATCGATGGCAATCGGCGCGAAGGACGTCGCTCCAGTTACGGCCAATACGAGGCGATGCACAATCAGATGCCGCTGGTAAGCACCTCTCTCTCTCTCTCTTTCTCTCTCTCTCTCTTTCTCTCTTTGCTAAACTCCTTGGCTCTTGCAGACACCCATTTCGCGAGCTCCACTGCCCGGTGGCATGCAACAAATGTCGCCCTTGGCTCTGGTCACACACGCCGCGGCGGCCAACAATCAGCAGGCGCAGGCAGCGGCAGCAGCCGCCGCAGCGCACCGCCGACTGATGGGCGGGCCGGCGTTTGGCCAGATGCCGAATCTGATGACGCAGGAGATCGAGAATCGCATGATGGAGTATCTGCAGCTCATACAGGCCAAGAAGGAGCAAAACGCTAACCCTGTGCTGGCTGCCACACACAATCACCAACAGCAGCAGCAGCAGCACCAACAGCAGCAGCAACAGCAACAGCAGCAACAACACCAGCAGCAGCAACAGTCGCTGCATCATCACCAGCAGCAGCGACAGCGCTCCCAGAGTCCGGAGCTGAGCACGCGCGATGCGCTGAGTGCACAGGTGGCGCTGTGGCACATGTATCACAATAGCAGTCCAAACGGTTCGGCGCACACGTCGCCACAGCAGCGGTAAGTGTTATACATAGTGTGTAGCCTAGGCACGCACCATTTGCGCTTAGTTTAGACACTAACCGTAAAGCTTTTCGTTTGCCATTTCGCCCACCTTTAGCGAAGCCCTGAACCTATCCGATTCGCCGCCAACTCTGAATCTGAATCACATTAAACGAGAACGCGAACGCGATCCGACGCCAGAGCCGGCGGATCAGGATGATGCACCACACCAGCCGCCGCCAGCGAAACGTGTGGGCAGCGGCCTGATGCCGCCCGGTTTTCCCGCTAACTTCTATTTGAATCCACACAACATGGCCGCTGTGGCAGCCGCCGCCGGCTTCCATCACCAGGCGAACAGCAACAGCCACCATCATCTGCATCAGCAGCAACAGCAGCAGCTGCTCCAGCAGCAGCAGCAACAGGACGCCGCGTCCGATGGCGAGCCAGAGGATGACTACGGCAATGCTGAGCACAATACCACCGGCAATTCCTCGTCCATGCACGACGACAGCGAGCCCCAGCCGCTGAACGGTCATCATGAGCTCGACCATCACCACCATCATCATCACCATCATCATCAGAATCATCTAGACAAGTCGGATGACTCGGCCATTGAGAACTCACCCAGCACTTCCACCACGGCATCAGCTTCGGGCGGCCATCGTCACAGTTCGCCGGTCTCCACCAAGAAGAAGAGCGCCACCGGCAAGGCACAGTCCAGTTCCAAGGACAGCTGCACAGCTGTGGGCGGCAGCAGTGGCAGCAGCGGCGCAGGCAGCGGCGTGGGTGAAGCCGGAGGCGGCAGTGGAGGCGGCCTCAAGCTAAATCCCCTCGAGACACTCAGCCTGCTGTCGGGCATGCAGTTTCAAGTGGCACGCAATGGTAAGCAATCCAATTAGGAGCGTTCGTTCCCAATCTAATCATTCATCCGCTTCTGTGCACAGGCACCGGCGCAAATGGCGAGCAGCAGTTGATTGTCAATCTGGAGCTGAATGGCATTAAGTACTCGGGCATGCTGGTGGCCAATCCAGGCGGACGCGAGCGTCACAACGGCAACGGCAACGACGACGACGACGGCGATGGCAACGGCGATGACGACAACGGCGACGGCGACGACTCCGACCCCGAGCCAGACAACGCTGCAGTTGCGACGCCCGCTGCAGTCGCGGAAGGCGGCGGCGCCAGCGAGGAGCCAGCGCCGGAGGAGGCCAACGAGAGTGGCGGCCAGGAGGTTGGCCAGAGCGAGGCAAACGTGGAGGAGGAGGAGGAGGCGCAGCCGGCTGAAGACATTGTCAATGGGGGCGTGGGCGTAGGTTTAGGTGTCGGCATGGGTGTGGGCATGGGCGTGGGCGTGGCTGTGGGGTCGCTGTTAAAAGATGCTGTTGCCAGTTCGTAGAGTGCGATTGGTCAAGGCAAAGGCGAAAGAAATAGGAATACCAAAGTCATATTTTTCAGAAAAATAAAAAATGAAGCAGACACACACACACACACATCTAAATACAGAAGGAATGATGTATGTGTGTGTGTGTGTGTGTGTGTGCAAACTCGTTAGCCTGGCTAAGACAAAAGTGCATCCACATAGCAGTTACAACCACGCGCCCATTATGAAACCACAAACACACACACACGTATATATATATATAGTTATATATGCGTATATATCTATATACACGATATATCGATTAGTATGTATGTTCATTTTCCACACACTTTGCATAAAAGACAAGCTTGCGAGCATTGTATTTATTAATAGGCCCTAGTTATAAGCAGCAACAACAACAACAACAATAACAAGAAGAAGAAGAGGTAGAAGAAGAGGTAGAAGAGATAGAGAGGCAGAAGCAACAGAAGCGCAGATAAAAACTTAATAATACTTTTGTTTAGTTGTTTAGGGGTGCTCCGCCCCCCGGCCCGGCAAATTTAGTTTTACTAAAAAAAAAAAAAAAGAAAATAATCTAATATATTTTAACTTTGCTCTTTTAATGTTTATTTTTTTTAAATATTCGAAATTGTGTTAGGCTGCAAAAGCTTGTGTACATATCAATAATTGCTATGTAGTAGTAAATATCTCTCCATATATACATAATATATCTATGTATATGTATATGTATATGTATACTCTATCTTTATATAGTTCTAAGTGAACATTCACACACACACACACACACACACACACACATTTGCATTTTGACCATATAAACCATAAAGCATAGTATATAGACATAAATACAATTATGAGAGCCTAAACCCATATAGACACACACACACACACACGCATACACACACACACACACATAATTATATATACATCTAAAGTAATTATCTTATGACATAAAGTAATAAAAAATACAAAACTGTTTGCGCATTGGCACTCTCTAAATAAGAAGATGTACCGCACCATCCCCCTTACCACCCGCACACCACCTTACCAACAATTACTACTCCAAAGCCAACACTAAATTAAACTAAATTAGCCACAAATATGTTGTAAGCGTAAGCGTTCAATTTATTGAATAATAAATCTATTTAATTTTAGCTCAAGTCGATTTTTCTGCTCTCTGTAATGAAACGATAATAACAGCAATGACTGCTGTTAATTAACAGATCGCAACGGGATGACATAAGAGTGCGAGTGTGAGAGGGCAGCAGAGTAGGGGCCCGTCTATCTCCCTCGCTAAGTGGCTGAGCAAACAGCATTAAAAAACAAAAAACGAAAAACAAAAAAAAAGAAAACTTTCGGCACTGTTGCACGTTGTTACTCAGATGTTGCACATTGTTTTTCTTTTTTTATGTTGCGCAAAAATATTTGGCTTTTGGGTGCCCTTTTTTATTTTTGGTTTTTGGCTCGCAGGCCGTAAACAGGCAGAAGTGGCCGTAGATTATGATTCCGGGACCTTTCGTCCCGGACCGCAAAAGTGATGAAAAACAAATGTTTTTGGAAGCAATGGATGCGTGAAATTGTCGACTAACGCTGGCGCCTGGCCCCAGCGGGGGCGGGGTGGAGGTGGGACAGGGCCAACAACAACCATAACCACAGGTGAGGCGAAATCAAGTGCTAACTACATTAAGGTAAACTTGAGGGATGCTGCCCCGCCTCCTGCACGCACATAATGAGCAGGCGCAGCGCAACATTTTGCGGCGCCTTTTGTTATTGCCCCTTGAAGGGACCACGTAAGTGGCAAGTGGTAAGTGCGCTCAAGACCCTGGCTATAAACAGCTCAAGTTTTGCCTCCAGCCGCGCTGCGTGGCCAGCGCAAAGAGCATTTTACGGGCAATTCATGGCGCCGGGCTTGGGTCCGGGTCTGAGTCGGGGCGCCATGCCTCAAGGCGGCCTGAATTATGCACCTTGAGTGTGGCAATTCATTGCCACCTGCTGCTGCACTCACATAATTGCACCTGCAGCCGAGTGTCGAGTGCAACACTTGGCCAAGTCTATTGTGCGGCTAATAAATACGGCATTTGCATAGCTGAATTTTGCGCGCGCCCAAAAGTATGCAATGGAAAATTGATTTAATGGTTATATTCAAAAATACTTCTTGGAGCTGCTCAAGGCTGCTCAGTACACAAATCCTACTGATGTACAAATGGGATTACGCTGGATTAGGCTCATCAAGTGTCTGTTTTCCTATTCCTCTCTGCTCACTCTGTCGCTATTGGGTCGCTATTAAATCTCAGTGAAACCAAAAACCTTTGGCAATTAAAGGCTCCACGCTCCAAACGAAATGCTCACGAATCTATCAATAACTGTATTGAATTACTGCAACAATATTTACCAGTATTTATTTATAAAACATTGACTTGAGCCCTCTATACAAGATTTATTTATAAAACATGAGAACATTAATTAGGAGAATTCACCATTAAACGGTTTATTTATAGTACTAGCTGGCGCTATGCTTAGGCAAATGCTCGCTCAAAGGTAGCTGGACGACTCGAAATATGCCTGCTATAAATCAATTTAATTGCACAGCTTGTAAAGTCAAGTTAAATAAGAGCTACGAAAAGATAACAAAAGCCAGCAACAAAAGCCAACAACAACAAACAGCGAACAGCGAACAGGGAAAACAAAACAATTGAAATTCAAAAGAAAACATAACACAAATTAGCCAAACGGAAAACGCAGGAAATTCACGCTGATGCCTGCGAAAATATTGATGGTCAAATTAAAGGCCAATAATACAGCAATAAAGTCGCCAGTCGGCCGTCCAACAGCACACACACACACGCAGACAGGCAGACACGCACACACAGACACACACACACAGAGAGAGTGGCACACGCAGAGCACCTTTGGAGGTAGCGCTTAGAAGTATTTATAAATTTTATATAATGTAGCTGGCGCTAGATACATACACACACACACACACACATATGCATAGGTCTCGCTGTGTGTGTGTGTGTGTGTTTGGCTACATTTAAACACTTGATGTGATGCCTACATAAAGTACAATAGCTGTTTGCCCTTTTTGTGCCAGAGCAGTTCGCTATTATTTACCAATACAAGCCAAACTTTAAAAAGCAATGTATATTAGTCGAAATGTGTCTGTGCCCTGCTCGCTCTCTATCTCTCTCTCTCTCTCTCTATGTGCGTGCGTGTGTGTGTGCAGTGAAAGCTACCGTTACGAACATGTGTACATGTAATGTGTTTCATACAACAATTGTGTGGCTTTTTAGAACACAGCGAGTGCGGCTGCGAGCAGCGCGTAATTATGTTGCCAGCCTTCGGCCGTCGATGCCTGCGCCAGCTTGCGTCTGTGTGCGTGTGTGTGAGTATGTGGGCTGCCGAGCCACTCAACGTTCGTCGTGCAGCGTTCGGCTGTTCGGGCCACACGCAACAGTTGTCAATGGCAACAGCATAGAAGCTCCTCTTTTTTCGCCACATCGCACCTGTATGGCAACAATGCTTAGCAACATCACTTGGCAACATCGCTTAGCAACATCGCTTAGCAACATCATTTGAAATGGATTTATGTTAAAGCGTTTTGAAGTTTTGAAAAGGATCTCTAATAAAATATTCATACTAAAATTGTTGATTAATTTATATAAATATTGTAAATAA